ATATGTAACAATTACTTATTTTATCTTAGTTGTAGGCCGAAAATCATTAAAACCTGTGATTTTCTTCATTTTTAATCATTTGTACCTCATAACGACATTAACTGATTTTTATGAAACTATAACTTACAAAGATCTACAAACGGGATGTTGCAAATTTTTGTTAGAAAGTTAAACGTGAAACGTGACGTCAACTTTTCTCTTCACAATTAAAATTTTGGACAAACATTTTTCCATATTACGTAGTAAGCCTTCTAGGCTCCTACAAAAAATTATGATATTCAGTTCAATATTAAAAAAGTTATTCCATTTTAGAAAGTATGTCAATGCTTTCTGCAGCCACTGTATTATAATAAGGTGGAAAATTATTTACCTGACTAATAAACGGTGGTAAATTATTTTGTATCAATGGATCATCGTATATATAGATTTGATAAAGCTTTTTAATAAAAGAACCCCACGATAAAGGAAATTTACACTTAAACTTGCCTAAATGATCTTTTAACAATTTTACAAATTCAGAAATTTTTAAAGCTGTAGATATCAATGCATCATAATCGTCTAAAAGACCTATAAAAAGAAATAAGTGACACCAATATTCACTGATAGAATCCAGGTTGGATTGATTTATAGTATAACATTTATATTGACCTGTAAGAAAAGTTTCTGCTAAATTATTTACATTATTATCATGTAGAAGAGCTAACAACCGAACTTTTACTTCTACTACAAACTCTTGAGCCAGACTCACTAGCTTCATAAACAACTGATGAGGATCCCTTTTACACAATCTGGAAAGGAAACGCTGTAGAAAAATCAATCAACCGACGTAAATCAATCACGATGGAACCTCTCTTTACACTTACTGTAAAACAATTTTATGCATATCGTCCTCTGAGAAGGGATTCTGTTCGAGCTGTGCTCCTGAATGTCTAGCTTCCAACGCTACGTTAAAGGAACCCCTTATATGCTGCCGCAATTCTGTCCACAAATTCTGGAACTTAGTGGCTTTCTGCACTTCTTCTCTAAAGAGATCCCTACACCGAAAGTGAATTCTGTCAAAAACTCTGCAACTTCATCTACTGAATTTCTTTACCAGTCTTAGCAATTACCTATTTGCCTTACACTCGTCACAAGAACACATCTCCTTTCCTCTGCAGGGATTATTGTTCGTCGTCACTGTATTATCGATATTTTCGATATTCATTCCTATCCCCATATGAGTTGCATTGAGTCCCATACTTTCTGGTGCCCGCGCACCTTTGATGAACTCATCAACCACGCTTTCGTCAAGTCTCACGTTCTGCAAATACAATGTATTCGACACGATTATTAATGGATATCGGTGAACGCGAAACGCTGTTCATTAATGAGAAAACGTACCGCGACAGGAACCGAATCCGCGACGATGGGCGACCTGACAGAGTCTTCCATGTAAGCGACGGCCCGTTCAGTGTTCCGCCGCACGACATCGTCGCCCGTTCTGATGCATCCGTCGCGACGTGCATCATCTGCGTGCTTCTTCGCGAGGATGTCACCCATCGCTAAAACGTTGCTTTCTCTCCTCCTGTTGCATTGACCGTCTCCGCCGTCGCTGCCGCTCATTCTATCGCCGCGTGGTCACAGCTATCGCACGGAGCTCGATCGTTCGTCGACACTCGTTACGGATTACTCGACAATCGTTGCGTCTTTTCCACGGGTTTTCTTCAGGACCGCGTAAACACCTAAACCGCATTCAATCAACATTCGCTTAATATGGCGTCTCGCGTGCTCGTCCCGTGTTTTGGCATCGCGTTAAAGAAGGTTGTGGTATGGTATACACAGTGATGTAAGATTTGCGGAATTTCGATCGCAGCGCGAACGGTGAAAAAAAGTGAAACTAAAAGTCTTGATGAAAGTTTGCGGATTTTTCCGCCCATAGCGTAGACCTAGTCTAGAATGCTGTTATATCTTAGCTTTAAGCTTTGAACCTAGCCGCGTGTGTAGTTTGAACGGCGTACCACTCCACGCGTAATTTTTCCATATACGTGTATCAGGCTTGCTTCCCCTGTTTTTCGCCCGTATTTCGATCCCCACTACTATTCCCCTCGTGCGCGTTCGCGAAGCTCTGCGCAGCGCTACCGTGAAAATCACTGCATACCCCCACCAACTATTGGTCCCCACCATGGTCGCGTCGTCCCCTCTTTCCGGCCGAGGGATAAACTCCGAGACCCCTGGCTGAGGGGCCTACCGGACACCAGGGTGGGTTCACTCAAATAGGCAAAGTGTTAACACGGATTAGTACTGACT